TCTCTCTATCTCTCTCTCTCTTTCTCTTTCTCTCTCTCTCTCTCTCTCTCTCTCTTTCTCTTTATGTCTCTTGCTCTCTCTCTCTCTCTCTCCACTCTCTCTCACTCTCTCCCTCTCACGCTTCCTCTTTCTTGCTTTCTCTATATCTCTTGCTCTCTCTCTCTCTTTCTCTCTCTTACTCTCTCTCACTCTCTCTCTTGCATTCTCCCTTGCTCTCTCCTACTCTCTCCTTTACTCCTTGCACTCTCTTGCTCTCTTCCTTGCTCCTCTCTCTCTCTCTCTCTCTTGGTCTTTTGCTCTCTCTCTCCCTCTCTCTCCCTTTCTCTCTCACTCTCTTGCTCTCTCTCACTCTCTCTCTCGCCCTTTCTCTCTCTCTCTCTCTCTCTCTCTCTCTCTCTCTCTCTCTCTCTCTCTCTCTCTCTCTCTCTCTTGCACTGTCTTTGTCTCTCCCAAGCTCCTTCTTGCTCTCTCTCTCTCTCTCCCTCCCTCCCTCTCTCTCTCTTTCTTTCTTGCTCTCTGTCTCTCTCTTACTCTCTCTCTCTCCCCATCTCTCTTTCTTCCCTCTCTCTCTTGCTTTCTCCCTTGCTCTCTCTTGCACTTTCTCTCCCTTGCTCTCTCTTTCTCTGCTTTACATTCTCTTGCACTCTTTCTAGCTGTTGCTCTCTCTCTCTTTTCTCTCTCTTGCATTCTCTTACTCTATCCCTTGCTCATTCTTGCTCCCTCTCTCTCTATCTCTCTCTCCTTGCTCTCTCTCCTACTCTCTCTGTCTCTCTATCTCTCTCTATCTTGCTCTCTTTCTCTTGCTCTCTCCCTTGCTCTTTTTTGCTCTCTCTCTCTCTCACCCTCTCTCTCTCTCTTTCCCCTCTCTCTCTCTCTCTCTCTCTCTCTCTCTCTCTCTCTCTCTCCCTCTCTCTATCTCTCTCTCTTGCTTTCTCTCTCTCTAACTCTAACTCTCTTGCTATATATCTCTCTCTCTTGCTCCCTATCTCTCTCTATCTCCCTCTCTTTCTCTTGCTCTTTCTCTCCCTTGCTCTCTCTTACTCTCTTTTACTTTCTCTTACTCCCTCTTGCTATCTCTCTCTCTCTCTCAATCTCTCTCTATTTCACTCTCTCTTTTGCATTCTCTTGTTCTCTCCCATGCTCCTTCTTGCTCTCTATCTCTCTCGCTTGCTCCTTCTTGCTCTCTCTCTATCTCTTGCTCTCTATCTTGCTCTCTCTCTCTCTCTCATGCTCTCTTTCCCTTGCTCTCTTTCTCTTGCTCTCTCCCTTGCTCTTTCATGCTCTCTCTCTCTCTCTCTTGTTCACTTTCTCTTGCTCTCTCCCTTGCTCTTTCTTGCTCTCTCTCTCTCTCTCTCTCTCTCTCTCTCTCTTTCTCTCTTTCTCTCACTCTCTCTCTCTTGATCTATTGCTCTCTCTCTCCCCTCTCTCTCTCTCTTCCTCTTTCTTGCTTTCTCTATATCTCTTGCTCTCTCTCTCTTCCTCTTTCTTGCTTTCTATATATCTCTTGCTCTATTTCTCTCTCTTGCACTCTCTTGCTCACTCCCTTGCTCCTTCTTGCACTCTCTTACTCACTACCTTGCTCCTTGCTCTCTCTCTCTATCTCTTTCTCTCTTGCTCTTTTTCTCTCTCTTGCTCTCTCTCTCTCTCTCCTGCTCTTTCTTGCCCTCTTTCTCTATCTCTCTCTCTCTCTCTTGACCTCTTGCTCTCTCTCTCTCTTGCTCTCTCTCTCTTACTCTCTCTCTCCTTCCTCTCTCTTGCTCTCTCTATATCTATTGCTCTCTCTCTCTCTCTTGCTCTCTCTTACTCTCTCTCACTCTCTCTTGCTCTCTATCTCTCTCTCTCTCTTGCACTCTGTTGCTCTCTCCCTTGTTCCTTCTTACTCTCTCTCTCTCTCTCCCTCCCCTCTCTATCTCTCTCTCTTGCTCTCTCTCTATCTCTATCTCTCTTTAGGGTTTAGGGTTTAGGCCTGTTGATTTTTGTGCCAATTTAGCAGTCCTTGATAGTTTTTTCTTTGATGATGTTAATAATAGTGAGTTCCCCTCAGCATTGTTGACTTTGTTGAGGGAAGAAAGTGGATAGGTTATAGTTGGTTTTCTCCTTTGGGGTATACTTGTAATTGGGTTTGGTTCTTTGATTAATGCAAATGCAGATATTTAGCTATCTCTATCTCTCTTGCTCTATATCTCTCTCTCTCCCTCTCTCTCTCTCTCTCTTTCTCCCTCTCTCTCTCTCTATCTCCCTCTCTTTCTCTTGATCTTTCTCTCCCTTGCTCTCTCTTACTTTCTTTTACTTTCTCTTGCTCCCTCTTGCTCTCTCTATCTCTCTCAGTCTCTCTCTATATTTGTCTCTCTCTCTCTCTCTCTTGCATTCTCTTGCTCTCTCCCTTGCTCCTTCTTACTCTCTCTCTCTCTATCTTACTCTGTCTTGCACTCTCTCTATCTCTTGCTCCCTCTTGCTCTCTCTCTCTCTCTTGCTCTCTTTCTCTCGCCCTCTTTCTCTTACTCTTTCATGCTCTCTCTCACTCTTGCTCTCTCTCTCTCTCTCTCTCTCATTCTCTTTCTCTTGCTCTCTCCCTTGCTCTTTCTTGCTCTCTCTCTCTCTCTTTCTCTCACTCTCTCTCTCTTTCTCACACACACTCTCTCTCTCTTGCTCTCTCTCTTGCTCTTCCTTGCTCTCTCTCATTCTCTCTAATGCTCTCTCTCTCTCTCTCTCTCTCTCTCTCTCTCTCTCTCTCCCACTCTCTCTTGCTTTCTCCCTTGCTCTCTCCTGCTCTCTCCCTCTCTTGCTCTTTCTCTCCCTTACTCTCTCTTACTCTCTCTTACTCTCTTTTACTTTTTCTCTCTATCTCTCTCTCTCTCTTTCTCTTTTTCTCTCTCTCTCTCTCTCTCTTTCTCTCTCTTTCTCTTTGTGTCTCTTGCTCTCTCTCTCCACTCTCTCTCACTCTCTCCATCTCACTCTTCCTCTTTCTTGCTTTCTCTATATCTCTTGCTCTCTCTCTCTCTTACTCTCTTTCACTCTCTCTCTTGCACTCTCCCTTGCTCCTTCTTCCTCTCTCTCTCTCTCTCTCTCTCTCTTGCACTCTCCTACTCTCTCCTTTACTCCTTACACTCTCTTTCTCTCTTCCTTGCTCCTCTCTCTCTCTCTTGGTCTTTTTCTCTCTCTCTCTCTCCCTCTCTCTCTCCCTTTCTCTCTCACTCTCTTGCTCTCTCTCACTCTCTCTCTCTCTTGCTCTTTCTCTCTCTCTCTCTCTCTCTTGCTCTTTCTCTCTCTCTCTCTTGCACTGTCTTTGTCTCTCCCAAGCTCCTTCTTGCTCTCTCACTCTCTCTCTCTTTATTTTTTGCTCTCTCTCTCTCTCTCTCTCTCTCTCTCTCTCTCTCTCTCTCTCTCTCTCTCTCTCTCTCCATCTCTCTTTCTTCCCCTCTCTCTCTTGCTTTCTCCCTTGATCTCTCTTGCACTTTCTCTCCCTTGCTCTCTCTTGCTCTGTTTTACATTCTCTTGCTCTCTCTCTAGCTGTTGCTCTCTCTCTCTCTCTCTCTCTTTTCTCTCTCTTGCATTCTCTTACTCTATCCCTTGCTCGTTCTTGCTCCCTCTCTCTCTATCTCTCTCTCTTGCTCTCTCCCTCCCTAGGGTTGTCGTGCGTTCTCGCTGGGGAGGTCCTCTCTCGGTGGCGAGTTCCGGCCAGTCGTCGGCTAGACTTCTTGGGATGGTAGGGGGTGACTGACGGTCACCCCCTCGTCCTCCTCCTCGGAGTGGGGGGGGGGAAGATTTGGTTTGAGGGAAAGTTTCGGATGGCAAATCTAGCGCTCGCAATGATGTGAAGGGAGGCTCGGGGGGCAGCTCTACTGGGACTGGTTCGGCGGAAGGTACAGGTGAGGAGGGGGATAAGAGATCTCCTTTGCGTGGGCTGAATGGAGTCAAGGACAACGGGGCGGCTAAAAAGCAGGTTGTGTATGTTCGTTCCCCGGTCAGGGGGGGGGCGACTAGATCGGAGACGGCAGGGCCTGCGGGAAATGTTCGAGCCTTAGTTGACAATGCTCGGCTGGGAACTGGGGCTGCGAGTGGTAGATCGGGGCGTTCACCGGCTGGTGAGGGGGAACCCAAGTTTGCTGGCAAGGCTTCGGCGGAACTAACTGATGGTAGTAGGGGTGGATCCGGCAGATTGGTGGGGGCTGGGTCGCATATGGAGCTGGATGGCCTTGATCTGACCCCTCAGGCGACCGATGATCATGGGGACGGAATGGAAATCATGGAAAATGATGAGGTGGTGGAATTTTTGAAGGAGGTCCAGGGCAACATTGGGGTGACTCCGTTGGTTGCTGCTGCGAGTCTCCCGACCGTGGAGGTTAAGTCAAAGAAGGATGAGGCACCGAACAGTAAGGTGGTTGATTTGGAAAGGCCACGATTCCAATTTGGAAGTATGAGTCGAATACAAGATTTGGGTAGATCACCGGCGGCGGTTGATTCTTCACGAGCTTTGCAGTGCAATGATTTTACTGTTACGGGTGATGCAATGCGTAACATCATTAATCCCGCTGATATGTTAGTTGATAGGGGTGAACCTCCTAAAATTGTTGGTGGTGAGACTTCTGGGATAAAATCCTGCCCCCCAAGTGTACGAAGAAATGCCAATACTGGAATTCTGGGGTCGAAACAGGAAGCGGACATTTGGAATGCTTCGGATGGGTCGGTCCTTGGTGCAAGGCCAAATCAGAATGCTTGGAGGAAGCCAGAGCCGGTGGCTCTAAGGTTGGAGGTGAACGCCTCAACTGTTTTAGGGTCGGATGGGATGATTTCGTTGAACCTGGACAAAGCTATAGGAAATGTCCAAAAGTTGGAGCGAGCCCTGGTGGGGTGCCTCCTTGGACGGAGGTTGCCCTTCTGGGTGGTACAAAGTGAACTTCAAAGGAAATGGGGGCATTTGGGCCTAACCCCGCATTACGCCGATGGGAGCAGACTGCTTTTTATGCTGGTTTGAGGATGCCAGTGCACGGGACAAGGTGATGATTGGGGGCCCTTGGTTCGTGGCAGGCCAAATTATTGGCGTGGAACAATGGGCGGTTGGATCAATGTCGAATTCTCCAAGGAAGTTCACTTCTTCGGTTTGGATACGGCTTCCCAATCTACCATTGGCCTACTGGGACGCCGAAAACATGGCCCGGCTTGCCATTGGGATTGGGGAACCTCTTTTCATGAACGAACCAACTAACTCATGGAATAGATGCGCCTTCGCACGTATCTGCGTTCGGTTGGATTTATCGAAGAAGTTACCCAAGGGAGTGTGGGCTCATGGGCTGGGAGGCTCATTCTTCGAACCGATTGAGTATGAGGGTATTCCGCTGATTTGTTTACACTGTGGGAAGGTTGGTCACAAGGCGGAGGTATGCAAAGAATCCAGAGATATGGGTAAGGTACAACCACCACCATCTACTACGACGGAGTCTGTTCCTCCTGGGCCAAATAAGGATTTGGAGGTGGACTGCGTTGAGCTCGGCGGAACAAGCTTAAAGGCGGCGTCGGTGGAGCGATCACCTGGGTTGGCGAATGTTGAGCAGGGCGAGTGGACTATTGTTAGTAGAAGAAGGAGACCCAAGCCAGCAAAAGTCGGTGGGAATTTGGCGGAACAGAGGATTGCCCAGCCCGGAACAGCAAGAAGAAATTCCAATAATCTGGCCTAGAAGGCTGTTGGTAAGGGGGATGTACATTTGGGGACTGGTGGAGGAACTGGTTCAGGTAGTGTAAATATGATCAAGAATGTAAGGAATGCTGGAGGTATAGATCAGGGTCCGAGTATCACCGAGAAGGAACCAGTGCTGGTTGGGGGGAGCAGCGGTTCATTTGAGCGAATGGTTAACTTGCCTATGAAGGACAACAATTACAACGAACCTACCACAGGTCTTGAGACCCTTGGGGTGCCTCTACAGGCTGGGACGGGCGTCCCACATGCATGCTCTCTGGACGGTATGGTGACGGAGTGCGTGGAGATTATCCCTCACGTGGCTCCCCTTTCGAATGGGACAGTGAATAGCGACAAATCTAGGATGGTGGAGAATTTCTCGATGCTTGGGTCTACACAATTGCACGGCACACGGCGGAGGAAACGTGGTGAGACTGTGGCTTCCCCTGCTCAGAAATTGACCCCAAGGGTGTTGCGTTTCTCTGGAACGAAGTCTGATGTCCATAAGGTGAAGAACGCTAACACTAGAGGTGCCAAAGATAGACGGTTGAAAGAATTGGGGTGCATTGGTTCCCTTCAGAAGCTGCCTGGTGTTCGTAGGAACAGGAACTCACGGGAGGGTGGTAATCCGGTACAATCTGAGCTCAACATGACTATCACGGATTGTTCTACGGGTGGCCGGATGAATGAGGAATTCACGGATCAATGGAAGGAGATCTTCTCGGATGTTTTTAGCGGCGGGGACACTTCCCCTTTAGTGAATAATGTTTAACATCCTTTGTTGGAATTGCAGAGGTGCGCGTAAGAAGGAGACCGGGAACTTCTTGTGGCACCTCATTGGGGAGCATAACATCAGCATCATTGGTCTTGTTGAGACCAAAATGGAAACCTTCTCTCGTGCGGATGTGGACAAGCTTGCGGGGAGGCACTGGGACTTTTGTTTTCAGCCTTCAGTGGGAAGTGCTGGGGGCATTCTTGTTCTTTGGCTTGGGTCGGTTGGCACCTTTTCTGTCACCTTTCAAACAAACCAGTGTATTATGGGGAGTTTTAGGTGGACATGCTCTCCGTCTTGGGAGATTGTGGTGGTGTACGGGGACAAGGACAGGTACACTAGGCAACGGATATGGGAGCACATCTCGAATCATCACGTTGCTAACCCCCCTTGGTGGTGGGAGGGGATTTCAATTGCAATATGGCACAGTATGAGAAGAAGGGGGGGAGACCCTTTGTCTTCAATCCTGCGGCTGGTGACATGGGAGACTTCATGAATGCGAACGGCTTGGTGGACCCTGGTTTCTCGGGGCCTGATTTCACTTGGACAAATAATAAGGATGCCGGAAGTCGGATTTACTCGCGTATGGATCGGTTTTTGATCAGCTCATCCATTCTGGATGAATTTCAGGGTCTGAAGGTGAAGCACCTCTCTAGGCTTACTTCTGACCATTGTCCCATTCTCTGCTCTGTTCAGGCGGGCTCGAAGAGGACTTATTCCTCTTGGATCCGGTTTGAGGATGTTTGGGCCAGCTTTCCGAGGGCGTGGCAGTTGGTTTCGGAAAAATGGAAGGTTCAGGATTCTGGCTCGGAAGCGATGATCCTGCAGAGAAAGTGCCTGAGAACTTTGAAGGCGTTATTCTTTTGGAGTAGAAACAAAATCAAAATGTTGAACCAGCTAAAGGATGAGCTTGACCGTGAGATAAGCATTTTGCAGGAAATTGATTGCTCTCCGTCCGGCCTCTCAGAGGCACAATCTGAATCTCTCAGGTATAAAGTTCAGCTGCTGAAGGCTACCCTGACCAGGATAACGACTTGGTGGGGGCAACGTGCGAAGGTTCGGTGGATTGAAGAGGGAGATGGGAACACACGGTTTTTTCACAACATGGCGTCGGCGAGAAGAAGAACCAATCTCATTGATCAGCTCAAGCACCCGGATGGGAGGTTGGTTACTGATCAGTCTGAGATTATTAGAATGGTGGAGGATTTTTTCCAGAGCAAGTGGGAGAATAACGACATTGTTTACTACGGGTGGCCCTCTCTTGATCTGCACTTTGCCAGCATGCAGCGGCTAGGTATATCTCTGGATTGTGAGATCACCCGTGAGGAAATTTGTCTTGCGGTGAAGTCGATGGGCAAGAATCGCGCCCCTGGACGTGATGGTGTGATGGCATCCTTCTTTAAATCGTTCTGGGATATTGTTGGTGAGCAGGTCATCTTGGCGTGCATGGAGTTTTTCTCTTCGGGACGGATGGAGCCTGAGTGGAAGGATACGGTGGTGGTTCTATTGCCTAAGGGTAACAATGCGGATCATCCTTCTAAATTTAAACCGATCAGTCTCTGTCAAACAATATATAAGGTCATTGCTAAGATATTAGTCAACCGTATCAAAGGAATATTGCCGTCCATTGTGTCTGTGGAACAAGCGGCATTTGTGCCGGGGAGATCAATTTCTGATCACTGCCTTTTGGGACAGGAAATTATGAACATGTTCAAGGTCTCCAAGTCTGCCAGACGATGGTTGGCATTAAAGGTCGATATGGAACAAGCCTACGACAAAATGAATTGGCATACTTTGGAGGTGGTGCTGATGAAGATGGGTTTCCCCCAAAGGTTCCGGTCGTGGGTGATGAGCTGCGTTACTGTTCCAAGGTTTGCTATTCTGGTGAATGGTACTCTTACGGAAGGGATAATGGCGGGATGTGGATTTCGGCAGGGGTGCCCGCTCTCCCCATACTTATTCATTCTGTGTTCGGAGCTGCTGTCTCTTCATTTCCGCAAAAACTACCCGGAGTTAGGCATCCAAATTAAGGTGGGAGGACCGGCCGTCTCCCACCTTCTTTATGCTGACGATGTTTTATGTTTTGCAGGAGCTACCATCCCTAATGTTCGGAAGCTATTGAAGATCCTGGATGACTATTGCGGCTTGACGGGGCAGAGAATTAACAAAAATAAATCTGCCATCTTATTTAGCAGAAAGGTTGCGTCATCCACTAAAAGCCGGCTAGCTAGGATTGCGGGATGTCGTAAGGTGATGGAAATGGATTACCTTGGCATCAAGTTTACATTGAGAAGGCTTACTAGGGCGGACTTTAGCCCTCTCCTCCAGAAAATTCAATTGCATATTCTTGTTTGGGGAACTCGTCAGTTATCGTTGGCGGGCAGGATTACTATGATTAACTCTGTGTTGCTTCCGTTGTTGGTGTTTGCTATGACGCACATGCTGGCTCCCCGGGGTGTGCTTGCTGATGCGGAAAGACTGTGTAGGAGCTTCCTCTGGGACAAAGATCAAAATCACAAGGGTCTTCATTATGCTGCTTGGGGCAGCCTCACCCGTCCGAGACGTCTTGGTGGTCTCGGCTTCCATGCCAGCAACAGCTGGACGGGGCCACTTCGTGCAAGGATTGCTTGGGATTTCATTAACAAGCCTCAAAATTTTTTCCAAAGATGTATGAGGCACAAGTATGGGGCCTGACCATGGGGGACGGAACAAAAAAGAGGTAAATCACATAGGTGGAGAATTATCTGCAATGGGGCCGACAGTTTGGCTGGCTCTCTCAGGTGGAAGGTCTGCAATGGGGAGGATATTGACACGATCAATCATGTGTGGCTCCAAGACTATGCTATCTGTTCTTGGCCGACTTTCTACAATATCGAGCTTGCCGAGGACAGCAGGGTGGTTGAGTTCATTATGACGGGCGGTGAATGGGACCGGTGTTGACCTCGATTTTGCCCAGACCCGGGCCTAAAG